TACTTTGACCTAATGATTCCTGCTCTATAATCCCTATCTATAAATAGCCGCAGCGATCCAAAAAACATTTAGTCTAATCGTGTTCATTTCTGCAAGTGTTTAAACAAGAAAAGCATGGGACATAGCCTAACTGTCCAAAAATAAAGACCGATGAATGAGATGGTGGTATTTATGTGTGACAGAACTTCGGATTGCCACCACAGCAATGTCACCGCCGCAAAGAGCTGGAAGAAGCGATGACACCCTGAAATAACATTCACCCATACTTCAGGGATCATAAGACATTTGCGGAAGGAGGAGAAGGAAAAAAAGGAGCAAACTACGGGATGTGGGAGCTCTGGGGGGAGCTCTCCATTTGGCAGCTTTCAAAAACGAGCCCACTCTAGGAACAAGAGGCCAAGGAACACAGGGTATCAGAACATTTTCAGAAGCCAGAAGGCATGGGTTCTAACCCCAGCTGCCATCCTCCTGCTCACAATCCTTGAGACATTTTCCCAACCCCTTTCTGCTAAGCGCCATAAACTTTAAGGGTGCTATGAAAGGCCCAGGGAATCCTGGGAAGTGACTGCATACAGAATGGGGTATTGAAACCCTCCTTCCTGCATTAGGGCTGGTGCCTGCACAACTGGTAATCGCTGTTCAAAGCGGCTCCTCATCTCCACCAGCAACTCCCTGAAGGCAGTTTATGTGCTCAAGTCTGGAGCCTGATGCCTGGGCGTCCTCAGGCGGCTTACTCTCTTCTGGGAAACGCCTTGTCATGTGTTTCCTTCCTGCCTGCTGCTAACTCTTCTCTCTGCTGTGCCCTTGTCCCGTCTCATCGCAAGGTGATCCCTCCTTGTTTGAGGTCATTCCCTTGCAGCTGACCAGGAACTGTCTCAACATACATGAAGATCAAATTCACAGCCTTTGTACCAGAAACCCTGAGGCACAGAGGCCATTTCAGTCCTGGCCATATCCTTGTGATGCTGCTGAGCTCACTGTGGTCTCCAAAGCTCGCAGGTGGGAGAGGAAGCAGACTCTTACCACTAGGTCTGTAGTCTAGCCTCTCCTCCAGTTCCCATCTTGGCAGACAAAGGTATTCTCTGTAAATGTGCACAGCAGAGAAATACAGAGACTTGGAAGTCTGTGTTGAACACAGGCTTGCTGCTGTTGCTGGAAGAAGAGCAGGTTAAGGACAGGACACACAACTTGTCCCCTGAACATCTGGCCTTCTTGCCATCCATAAAGAGTCCCTATAAACAGGATTATCACTTTTTGACGTCAGCTTCCCTCTCCACCATCTCTGTAAGGACAACCCTATTTTTGTGTCAATAGGCAAAGATCTGAATTCAGGGTCTTTGGGTGCTTTGGTCAGCCAGGCGTCTGGGACAAACAGCAAAGGTGACACTATGGAAGACACAGATGATGGAAAGTCTTGCCAGCCTGTGGCTCAGTCAAGCAGAGTGGGAAACACTGACAGCACACCTTGAGGTGCTGAAACTTTCCCACAAGGACAGGGAGTGCTTGTCCTGGGCAAGCTCAGAATCCCCCCCCCCCACCCCCAGGAGCTCACCCTTTCTGTTATATATACTCTGTGACTGATGCTGGAGCCACCAGGCTGGATGCTTCTGGTTTGGCCATGTCTCTTGGAGTTCATTGACTGTGAACTGGCCTTTTGGGAGACCTGGGGTTCTCCTCTGGCTAAACAGTCACCATCTCTTTTATTTCAGGCTTATAGTCAAGGTGAAGGTATGTGATTCTCTAGTAAGCTTCCAGTTTTCACATTTTAAAGTCCTGCTAATTCTGGCTGGTGATCAAAAGGAGCCCGTCAACAATAACAACAAAAATTGTCAATTGATAGCACATGTTGGGTTCTAGAACTGAGCCTCTGTCTCCTAGCAACAGAACTCAGCACTCTGCTTGTCGCCCCATCCTCAATTCCATCCTTGTCTTTCCTGGAAGGAGCATGCTGGGCCAGGCACCTCTCCTTCCGTCTAGGTACAGGTTGATCTTTAGGTCAGGGGTGCTATCCACATTCCAATTGTAGCTTTGAAATCTCTCTTACACTTCCCACAACTCCTGGCCTGTGGAGCCTGAGGTAGAGAACTGGGCTTCTTTAGCCTCCCGTATCTCATGAATACACTTCCATGCTGAATCGCGAGACTCAAGCCAACAGTGGCTCCCCTCACGTCCCTCTCTGCGGGAGTCTTTAGGACTCAACATGAGCCATTCTCCAAAATCTTAAACTTTCCCCAACACTTTATCCACCAGAAATCTCAAGGTCAGAGTGCAAAATAGACCGGGTAGTGCACCTCCGTGTGCCCGGCTCTCAACACTGTCCCTGCCACTTCTCCCTGGGAAAGGGCCGGTTCAATTTACACCTCCACAACTCAGAGACCACATCTTTCCTGCAAAAGGGATTTTCAAACTAAGGCTGTTAGTGTAACAGCATTATTGGGTGGGCAACCAACCAGCATTTTAGGAAAGAAATTAGGGCAGAACAGAAACTACCAGAGCGAGTAAGTGCGTAAGTGCTGTTCTGTAAAACTTTTATTTCAGGTGTGTGTGTGTGTGTGTGTGTGTGTGTGTGTGTGTGTGTCTGTGTCATCAAAGTCTGTCTCTTAACACATCTCATGGAAGTTCTCCCAGCACTTTCCTTACAGTAGCCCAGAACTCAACCTTGGGTTGAATGTTCCAACAGGGGGATTAAGGGATGACTCAGTGGTTAGAAGCTCTTGTTGCTCTTCCAGAGGATCTGGGTTGGATTCCAGCACCTAAGTGGTGGCTCACAAATACCTGTAATGGCAGATCGAGGGGCCCTGATGCCCTCTTCTGGCCACCGCAGCCTGCACAGTGCTGGACAGCAAAACTGCGCGAGCATGTGCAGGCACATACAAGTCATTTTCAAAACAAGCACAAACCTTCAACAGTACCCTTGAATCTTTCTCAACATGATACCTAGCATATGAACGTGCTTGCATTTTCCTTGTGTATTTTTCAGGTCCATTGCAAACTTCTCAAGGAAAGAAAATGTAAATATTATTGTCTCTCTGGCCCTGTGTGCCTGGCATCTAGTAGATACTCAACAGATGCATGTTGTGTGAAGGAACTCCTGTGTCAGAGGAGAATTTCAGGGTGGGCAGTATGAAGGGGGTGTGTGTAAGGGTTTAGGGCTCTTGCTCTTTTTCAGGATAAAAGGCACAGACCAAAGGAAAGTGTGTGAAGGCAGATTCAGACAGCCATGGTATGTAGAACTTTGTAGAAGCCAGCTGAGGGACCCCTTCCTGGGCTAGGGACGGAGATGTCCATCTGGAATACTCAAGACAAGAGGCGCCACCACCTGCCCACTTGAGAATGTCAGGAGACCTAGTTTCTGCAGGAAAGTAAGCTGGGAGAGCCTGTCCTGGAGTAGGTGGTGCCTGGAAAACCTGGATCTTAGACAGGAATTGGAGATTAGTGGGAAAGCCCGTTGGTGGACACGATCTTATTGTAGAAAGAGCACTGCGAGGTCTTAGTGTGCAGTCTGCCTCACATTCACTAGCACAGCCTTGGATGTGTGTATGCTTGTGAGAGGGCGTACTTATGCATTCTCTGCACTGTGTGTAGGTGTTCTCATGGCTTGCACATCTGCATGTGCACATGGGGTATATGCATGTATGTATGTGTGCCTGTGTATTGATGTGGGGGTGTGGCCACGTGTCATGTATACGTGTGTGGAGTATGGTATGTAATGTGGTACACACCTGTGTATATGTGTTTTTCATATATGCATGCTCATGTGCGATGTAAATAGTGTTTATATACCTGCATGTGTGGATGTTTATGTGTGCATATAAGTGGGGGTATGTGTGGCCATGTAACATGTATATTCATGTTGGTGCTTTGTGTATGTACATATGCGAGAGAGTTTGTGCTTGTGGCCATATGATGACGTGTATGAATATGCATATATGTGGGTAGTGTGCATGTACAGGCCTGTGGCATGCATATATGCATGTAGAGTATGTGTCTGTGGAGTATCTTCATGCAGCCATGTGGCATGAATGCACATATGATCTAGCTGTGCTTGTGGAGTACATGCATGTGTGTGTATGTGTAGAGAGGGCCTGGGTGCCTGCCCTTCCTTAGTCCCTCAGTAATTTTCTCTACTTCCTAGACCCCCTAAATGCCACACTGGACCAGGGTGCAAAGCGAAGAGCTCATGCTGGTGGCCACCTAGACTGGGGCTTCAATTAGCATGTCCATTGAGGCGTAGGAAGGGAAGGGGAGTGGACCTCATGGTCATGTACCTGTAGAGCCACCTGGGAAACACATGGACTTATGAGTTATCTCCTGGGCTTCAAGGAACTTACTAGGGACGGTGGCTCAGCTGGTTTGCGGGTGCAAACCTGTTCTACAGTGACAGGCATGTCAGAGGAGCTGTAGCCATTGCTGCCCTCCTCAGAAAACCAGCAAAGTGACTTTGCCCTGTATAGACTCTAGAAGATGGATGAGGAGAGGGATGGCACTCAGGGGGCAAGGAAGAATTTCTGGGCAGGTGTAAAGGAATGTCTTCTTAGGGTAGACACAGAGTTCACAGGGTGGCAAGCTCTGGAGATAGGACAGGGCAAGTGCTCCCAGATGCTCCCTAGTGGACCCACAACATCAGCACAAACCACGGAGCCCTGGTGCTGGGCACATGTGGGGAACGGGCTCCAAGTATCCTTTGCGTGGAATAAACTCTGGGTTCACTCTCCCGGTCCATATCAAACAAGGTCTGGGGCCCCAGTGTCACAGGCCTTCTGTGGAAGCCTCTGGGGGGGTCCTGAGTTAACAAACTTCCCGCTGGCCCTGCTGGTCCTGCGCGCCCAGGGCCCAGGCTGTGGGTATGCTGGGCCGTCTCTGTCGCCATCCAGAGGCTCGGCTGGGGCGCGGCGTCCCCTCTGCCCGCCTCCCTCGCCAGTCCCGGGCTAGTGCGGGGCCCCGTCACGCCGGGCACGCGCTCCAGGCGCGCCGCTCGCACTGGTGACGGGGCGCGCCGAGCTGGGGCGCGCAGCGACGCCCAGAGCCGCGGGCTGGCGTCCCCGGGCGGGAGAGCACGGGCGCGGGCGGCGCGGGCGCGGGCGCGGCGCGGGCGGCGCGGGGCGCAGTGGGCCGGGGCCCGGGCACGGCGGCGGCGGTAAAGGAGCACGGCGACGAGGAGAAGGAAGACGAGGAGGAGATGGCACACGCGGGGCCCGCACGTGGAGGCCGGCACGGGGGCGCGGGCAGGGCCGGCTGCTGAGACGCGCTGCTGCCCCCCGCGCGGGCACCGCGGCTTCAATGGCGCCATCGCCCAGGACCAGCAGCCGGCAAGATGCGACCGCCCTGCCCAGCATGTCCTCAACTTTTTGGGCGTTCATGATCCTGGCCAGCCTGCTCATCGCTTACTGCAGTGAGTACCGTGCACCGGGGCCCCACTCGGGCCTCGGGTCCCCGGGCCGGCCCCTGCCCCGGCGGGGCGCCCCGCGTCGGTGCAGAGTTGCGAGTGCGTGGCGCGCGGTCCCGGGTCTTGGCCACTGCTCCGCTGGCCCGCGAGGGCTGGGTGCAGGCGGCTCCGGGTTCCAGGCACTCCGCTGCCGGGCGCATCAGCCCGAGCGTGCTTCCGCGGACTCGCCAGCAGGGCCGGCGTCAGGCCCAGGCCAGCACGGCGCGTCCCTGCGCGGGGGTGCCCACTGCCCGCCGTGCGGTCGCCACTCTGGCCCAGGCTGGCGACCGAGCGGAACTGCGCGCGCTGAGCTTCCCGCCGGCGACACTCCCTCCGGGGACTTGTGGGGACGCAGCAGCCGAGCCCAAGCGGGACTCCTCAGGCAGGAGCGCGGCTTGGGTGCCAACGCGTGGCGGAGCTTCTTGCGTTTCTGAGAAGCGGGCTCGCCAGATGCTTTCTGTAAAAGGAGAAGTAAGGGGACGGATGCCACTGGAGGGGAGGGTCCGCTACCGCTGTGAGGGTGGTTTGGAGGAATGAATTGGTGACCCAGTGGGTCTGGCAAGGGCTGCGGAGGGAGGTGCGGGCTGGTCGGTGCCTGGCAAGGGGAGCTGGAGCTGGGCTGGACTGGGAGCAGGACGGTGAGTGGTGGTAGGTCGCATCTGGGAAACGATTATCTGAGTCCTGTATGTACAGACTTGGGGCTGATGTGGGGTGGGGAGGCATTGTCCTGCCTGGTGCCTAGTGTCTGGTAACTGGTGGGGTGGGTGAAGGTTGGTTAGCGTCCCGGGCACAGGCTTCATCAGGGACGGGAGCTTGCCTGGTTACTGGCTCCTGCCTTTCTGTCTCTGTGGGAAGGAAGAACTAGTGCCAGGGAACACCTGTCATGGAAAATTGCCACAGGCGGAGAGGGTGGGGGTTGATGAGAACATACGGATTCTTTACAAAATTAAAATAAAATTAAAGGCCATCACCAAGCGATTCCTCCCACTTCCCCCGGTCATTACCAGAACCTCGGGTCTCTTAGCTCCCAATTCCAGCTCCTCCTGTCTCTGAAATGGGATTGCAGGAGCCTCGGAGACTCAAGTTATGGCTAAATTTGTCGCCAGAGTCCTGGGACAACGCTGCCTTAGAAATAGCTCAACCCCCAGCATGAAGGCGTCTTGAGGGAGATTCGATTAGGCCCAGAGCAGGAATTGTCCCAGTTGTTTCAAGCCGTCTGTGTCCCCCCCCAGTGTTGCTGTGGCATCTTCCACTGGGGTTCAACAAGCAAGAGGCTTACTGCTGGCAGCGTTCTAACCTGGTTGCCCTAGCTGCCCTAGGAAAGGAGTACCATGGTGTGAGCCACCAGAGAGTGCCCACTGCTTAGCCTTCTGCAGCCTACTGCCTGCTTTCAGGGGCTACCCAGGTACCTCTGAGGCTTGATTCCTTAGCGGTACAGGAGGAGTTAAAGACAGGTAAACTCAAGAGCTGGACAGGGGCTGTCAGATAACACTTCTGGTGCTATCCCATGGGTGGCACATTCAGGTGTGTATGTGTGTGTGTTGGGGGGAGGGGCCATGGGGGGAGCTGAAATCGGGAGCTGCCATTACTTCCTGGGCAGGTTCTGGTAACAGTATCCTTGGGTTAGATGAGAGCCCAGAGCTACAGACTGGGTCAATAGAGGCAGCTCTACACATGGGAAAAGGACAGATATCCACTAGTGACCTCATCACTCGGCACTTCAGAGTACCACCAAGCTGTACCTCGTATCCACTCCTGTCCCTTGTATTCTAGACCTCAGCGTGAATCAAAATTTACCCTTACCTCTTCATCCTGTCGGCTTGCCCCTTAATCTAACTGGAGGGAAGGAGCCTCATAGACGCAGAGAAAGGACAGGGCCTGCTGTACATGTCTCTGTCTTTATGTCTCGGCTACCAGGGCAATTGGTAAGAATCTTATCCAGAGAACAGAAGTCCTCAGCAACCACATTTTGCCTGTTGTTGCCATCTCCACATAATGGAATAATTGACAATGAGCTAACGTTTTTTTAGACACACCCCATTACACCAGAAATGCAGTTGGAGAAATTAAAACATTGCTCTAAAATACAAAATAACATCGTAATAATTTATAGCTGAGAACTGCAATCCTGGGGGGAAAGAATATTTCGTTTTTCTTAGAATCGATAATGCATAGGAAATGATAATTGAATAGTTCCCGTGATTTCCAGCCTCTCGTTCAACATATCTGGATTGAAGGATAATTAGCATCCTTGTGTGCAAGATGCTTCAGTAAAGGATTTTTTTTTTTTACCCTAACCATCTTTTTGCTACAGAGCAGATACATTTGGGAAGCCGGTGTCCATCTTTTGGGGCTCAGGGATGTTGCCTATAGTGTGTATATTTCTCTGTTACACACATGGTGCTCACTTCCTGGCACTAATCGGAGGAAACTGGATTATTTCCTGGCCTGGTTTCTGTTGGGGGATTCAACTGCTCTTGCCCATTGGATGTCCTTTGCTATGTGCTTGAGATTCATATTAAGGAGGTGGGCTCCACCCTCTGGCTAGAGAAAGACCTGCAGTCCACCAATTAGGATGGTTGCTATGGTGACTCAGCCTTGTCATTTTCAGGGATTGGGGAAGAATTGCCAGGAAAAGCAGAGAGAGAGAGAGAGAGAGAGAGAGAGAGAGAGAGAGAGAGAGAGAAAGGGGAGGGGAGGGGAGGGGAGGGGAGAGGAGAAGAGGAGAGGAGAGAGAACAGGGCCCCTATGAGGCTGATTTTTAAAATGGGTGCTCTATTTCATGTCTGCTAAAAATGTTACTTACAAGGTCCACTTCATAAACAAGCACTCAGCGTGTTTACCAAGGGCTCCCGGTAAAGTTAGATGTTGTGAGAAGGGAAAAGTGCTTTATTCTGGGCTTGGGAAACTCCTCAGACTGTGGCTTAGAAGGGGCTGAAATGTTTGAATTGCTCCAGCTTGTGGAGCAGGAAGGTCAGCTGGCCAGACGCCGTTGTTGAATGAAGTACCAAGGGCTAGTGTACTGTGTGCCGGGCTCACAGCTAAGAGTTCTTCTTTCCACACTGGCTTGTGGTCTATTGGAGATAATAACAGCTAGGAGTATGGAGAAAATGATGAGACTTGTGACACCCGAGCCTTGACTTGGATTCTTGCGAGCCATGTTCAGTTCCAGAATAAAGGAGACTTCTCTAGCGTAGATGGCAAGTTCCGCCTTCAGAGCCGCGTGGTGGACAGACGCTCCCGGCATGTAAATGCTGGAAGAACGGCCTCGTTTCAGAGGACTGGGGAGTCCTGTGCAGGAGAGGCATTGGGGCTGCCTACTTAGCATACATTTTTTTATTTCAAATAAATCCTGCTAAAATTGAATTGTGCCGTTCAGTTAAATCTCATGGCCGCAGCTGCACATAGAAGAAATTACAAACAAGTTTTGAATTGTTTTTAATCCATTAGAATACTAACCGAGCGTAGGCACTTTGCTGGTCTCCAACATGCATTTCCTCTACAAATACAATTTGTGGCATATTTAGTGGCGATGACAATGTACTGTATTCCTGCTGATCAAATGTATTTTCTAGAGTTCTCAAAGAGGTAACATTGAAAATATCAGAGGCTTCAAAGAAATGATGTCTTTTAGGAGTCAGTTGGGCTCTCTCTCTCTCTCTCTCTCTCTCTCTTTCTCTGTCTCTCTCTCTTTGATGAATGTCTGGCTTGAAATGTGCTGTTTCTTTCAGCCACATAATATAATGGTAAGCGGCTTTCCCTGACTGCGTTTAGAGCCCAGGGAGAAGGAAGCAGAGGCGTTTTGCCTTCTCTGAGGGTTTTCTGTTTATAGACCCACAAGAGGCAACTTGGATTTGACTATCCATCTCCTTTTCAGAGCCAGGGCTGCTCCTGGACAGAAGGTCTCAACCACTTCTGCCCTTCCCCCAGCCTCTCCTTCGGGCCGCTTATACCAATGTCTACTGCCTGCTTTACACTTTCACACTGGGCTGGCTTCTTTCTCCCATCAGCTGTGAGTTATCTGGACCTCAGTGAGGTCAGAAGCAGCGGGAACCAGGAGAGAGCTTGACAATGGGAACCAGACAGAAAGGAGCTTGACTAGACAACACTCCTCCCTGTTAAATTTCCAGCCCTGGCCCTGCCTCTACACTCAGGGCATAAAATATGTAGATCAACTTTGGTGGTGTGAAAGTACTTTCAGGTGACTTTATAGATGCAATTATGGGGAAACGTTACGATAATGACACAGTAGACGAGGGGAGAAAAAGCAAAACATTAAAATCCCCATTTCTTTATATAGCTCGGCAGCTGCCTCTTTAGAAGACCTCATTTTTGCTTTAAAACTTGGCGTGCTGGAGTTAATGACCTCTACAGAGTGCAACCTGTCACCTAGGGCTTTACTGATGCCCCGCCCCTGAGATCGCCCAGGGCTACTCTCTGGCTAGCGGCTGGCATCTAGGCGTGGCTGACGAGATTTCTCAGGTGCTTCCTGACAAATGTGTGTTGCTGCTACTGGCTCAAGGCCTGTGAGGGGCTGGAACAGGACCCACTGAGGCTCCTCCTTCCTTCTTAAAGGCTCACTTGCCCTTACCAGAACCTCTGAACTGCCCCAGGGGTTTCTGTGAGCTGAGGTTTCTATGCAGGCCACTGGCATCCCCTGAATGTCACTGACCCCACTGCTCCAGAGTGCACCAACTAAATGAAGCAGCAGCTGGTAAGAGCTGTCCTGGAGCTGAGCTATGGGGCAGGGACAGACTTAGCGTTGGCAGGGAGTCTGGGTGACTTCCTGGCCCTCTGTCACGCAGAGAGCTTGGTGAAGGACTGAAGAGTGCTTTGTAATACCCACTTCTTAAAATTGGTGGCAGAGAAAAGAGGGCACACCCTGTACCTATAAGGAGGTAAGTGGGGCTCCTTTGGGATCTTACCCTCTCACATCCTGGGAAGGCAAGTCCCAGCTTGGCAGACTC